ACTCTCCTGGTGGACAGCTGGTCTCACATCTCCATACACATGGCAACAGAAGATTTCCTGCTGTGTTGCTTTCATCATGTTGTTCTTAAGTCAGAAGACTGGGGTGCTCTACATGATCCAGTCCAGTTTCCAATGTGCTCAGAACTTCCCATAGCCCAAGTGCTGACTATGACCATGGAATTCTGTCACATAGAGAATTCTAGTTTGAGTCCCAGTAAACTAAAAAAAAATAACTTTGGCATAACTAATGCAATGCTTCTTCATAATCTATATTTACACAATGCCTTGAGTGCCAGAGAGGTAAGTTAATATGGAAGAAGATATTTGGGAAGTGAAGGTCAATGCCCCAGGATTACCTGGACATGTTTTTCTGTTTCTGTTTGTTACAGACTGAATGTTTGTGTTCCACAAAGTTCATATGTTGAGATACCAATCCTCCCTGTGTTGGTATTAGGAGTGGGTGGTGAGTAAGTCCTGTGATGGAGCTCTCATGAACAGCAAAAATGTTCTTATCAAGGGGGCTTCAGTGAGCTCTCAGCCCTCCACCATGTGGGGACACAGCCAGGTGTCAGCCATCTATGAACTAAGAAGAAGCACATTGTCACATACTAAATCTTCCCAGGGCCTTGACCTTGTACTTTCTGCTCCTCAGAATGTGAGGGGAAAAAAGTATTATATAAGCTACTTAGTCAATGACATTTTTTGTACTACCATCCCTAGCTATAAAGATACTCTTTTAGGTCTAAGATGGCATCCAAATTTTTAGTGCCCTAAAGGTGAAACAGCTCCCAATTACATTTAAAAAGGCAGGAAAATAACAAATTCTAGCTTTCTCTTTGACCTGAGTAAGACTTGCATCTTTCTACCCAAGTGGAAGTTATGGGTGATAAGTATTTCATTCAAATCTGCCATACTTTCTGCATACCTATCACTCCTGAAAGACAAAAACTATCACTGGATACCTAAGGAAATAGAGCATCACATGGTGGAAAAATAACTCAACTCCAGGGGCCCTTTCATGAGCCAGTCATGATGCTCTCAACTTTACTTATAGGTTAATATTTATCTCTTAAAACAACCCAAGGAGTAAAGTTATGTCTAAAATTTTTGTTAGCCACATGACCAGATATAGGTACATAGAACATAGTGACTTGTCTGGAGTCATAGTCATGAGAGAACTTGGGCTAATCTCTGCGTGGAACCTCTGATAGTACAAATAGGGTTTGTTGTCTGTGCTGTGGTTTGATCTGGGCACAAGCTTACTGTGATTCCTGTGGCTAAACACCTGACTCCTAGGTAAGCTCAGACAAAGCCCTTGGCCCAGCTGTTTAGCCTCTCCCTCTCTCAGCTGTTACCCCGCAGGCTCATCGTCATATTCAATGTCAGAAGTTCTCCCAATTATTTCTCATAAAACCTGATTCCACAATCTTCTCCAGAGGCTGAGCCCAACTCTAGTCATGTTTGCATTGTTTGAGACTCACCTAAATACTCCCTTACTTGGTAAAATTCTTTATATGGTTATAACTAGGGCATATTTAAGACCTTCATTTATTTTGTGTCAAAATGGAGCTTTTGAAATACTATTAAAAATAATACCTTAATGATATGTATTTCCATAACATAATTGTCACCTCATTAAAAAAATATCAATTGGTGGTTTTGGTACATTCACAGAATTCTGTAAATATGGGCACTCTCCAATTCCAGAACGATTTTTTTCACCCAGCAGGTAAAACATATTCAATGTCAATGCATACTTCATTTTGTTGCTATATTACATTGTGTTCATCCATTCATCTGCTGATGTGAGTGGGCTCTCTCTCATTCAGCAAGGAGGTCCACGGAACAGGGTAGAGGAGAGTGTGGCTGCAAAGTCACTAATCAAGACCTCGGGAGACCAAGCAGGAGCATATCTGATTTTTTTTTCAGTTACTATACACACACACACACACACATTCAAGCAGTAGCTAAGCAGATTATAGGCAGCCACCAATGCAATGTCTGCTAACTGCCTTTGCAGCGACCAATCAAGGAGTGGGCTGTAGAGCAAGCGCAGGGACTGCAACACATGGCCTCACACCCCAGGCTGTGCCCAGAGAGTAAGCAGCCTGCTGCTCACACGCCTAGCACGAGGGGAGTGGCCTGCCACTCAGACGTCCTAAACGTATGCCATGTGTGCAGTACTCCATGCACTTTTCCCCACATTGATGGATGTTTAGCTTACTTCCAGTTTGGAGATATTATCAAGAATGCTGCTCTATGCAATTCTGAACAAGTATAGAGAGGGAATATTTCTGTTTATCCTGAGAATATCCCTAAATGGAATTGCTGAGACATTCCTCTTTAACTATAGAAGGAACTTCTCTCAGTTCCACATAAGGTTTATTTCCAGTCAAGCAGCTCCAGCCAGAAGGGAGGAGATCACCTGCTTTTATGGTGCTGAGTCAGCCTGGTTATGTTAGTCCTGCATGAAATGCTTTAAACCCCAGAATCCTGGGCACTGGCCTCTGCAAAAACTGGCCTCGTCATTAATTCATATAATTACCTGGTAACAGAAGTTTCTGGTCATCATTATTTATTAAAGTTATATTTTACTAACATATTAATTATACAAATTGATGGGCTTCCCTGTAATACTTCCACATGTGCATATGTGTGCTTTGATCATGTCCACCCTCTCTTTACCCTCTCTTGTTCTCCACTCTTCTCTTCCCCATCCTTAGTATCTTTCTCTTCCCCTAATAGTAGCTACTACTTCCAGGTCACTTTTATCTATCTATCTATCTATTTATTTTTAGTTGTAGATGGACACAATACATCTATTTTTTTATTTATCTATTTTTATGTAGTGTTGAGGATTGAACCCAGTGCCTCACATGTTCAAGGCAAGTGCTCTACCACTGAGCTGCAACCCCAGCCCCCACTTTTATTTTTAGATACCAAATATGAGATTAAACATATGATTCTTCTCTTTCTGGCTTCTTTCACTTGACATGATGTCCTTCAGTTTCATCCGTTTTCCTGAAAAAGATATTAATTCTTTTTTAAAATATATCTTTTTAGATGTAGATGGACACAATATCTTTGTTTATTAATTTATTTTTATGTGGTGCTGAGGACCGAACCCAGCACCTCACACATGCCAGGCAAGTGCTCTACAAGTGAGCTACAGTTCCAGCCCTGACATTATTTCATATATACCATATTTTCTCTATTCATTTATCTGTTGATGGGCACATAGGCTGATTCCATATCTTAGCTATTATGAATAGTGCCACAATAAACATGGGAATGCCTTTCTTTCTTTCTTTCTTTCTTTCTTTCTTTCTTTCTTTCTTGCATCTTTCCTTCCTTTTGTTCATTTTTTCTCTTTTCCTTTCTTTCTTTCTTTTGTACACCAACTTTGTTTCCTTTAGACAAATACTCAAGAGTAGTATAGCAGGATCATATAATAATTCTATTTTTAATCTTTTGAGGAACCTGTTTGCCATGTGGCTGCACTAACTTACATTTCCATTGACAGTGTATAAGGGGTCCTTTTTCTCCACATCCTTGCCAGTATTTGTTATTTAATTTCTTTTATAATAGCCATTCTGACTGGGGTGAGATGACATCTCAATGTAGTTTTGATTCATACTTCCCCAATGATTAAAAATATTGAGCATTTTTGTGTGTGTGTGTGTTGAGTATTGAATCCAGGGGTGCTTAACCATGGAGCCATATCCCCCTTTTTAATATTTTATTTAGAGATAGGGTCTCACTGAGTTGCTGAGTGCCTTGCTATGTTGCTGAAGCTGGCTTTGAACTGGCAATCCTCCTGCCTCAGCCTCCCAAGTTGCTAGGATTACAGGCTTGTGTCACTGTGCCTGACTAAGCATTTTTTCATATGTATATTGGCCATTTGTATTTCTTTGGGGAAGTGTCTTTTCAGATCATTTTGTCAATTTTTTATTGTGCTATTTGTTGTTAAGTCTTTTAAGTTCTTATAAATTCTGGATTTTAATCCTCTGTCAGAAGAATAGGTAGTTAACTTTTTGCCCATTGTGTAGTTTGTCTCATCATTCTGTTGTTTCCTTTGCTGTGCAGAAGCTTTTTAATTGGAAGTAATCCCATTTATCAATTATCATTTTTATTTCCTGAGCTATTAGAGTCCTATTCAGGGAATCATTGCCTGTGCCAATATCTTAAATCTGCTGTTATTCTGATGGATTTGCCTTTAAATGTGACTTGGCTCTTCTTTATTGCAGCCTTTAATGTTCTTTCTTTGTTCTGTGTTTTTGGCAGTTTAACTATAGTATGTCATGAAGAGGTTCATTCCTGGTCATGTCTAGTTGTTCTAAATGTTTCCTGTACCTGCATACCCATGTCTTTCTCAAGATTTGGGAAATATTCTGCTATTATTTTGCTGAATTGGTTTTCTATACCTTCTACCTATAGCTTCTGTCTTGTTATTTCTGATTATGCATATATTTGCTATTTTAATGATATTCCAGAGATCTTATATATTTTGTTCATTTTTTTTCTTTTTCTTTCTTATTACTGTCTGGATGTAAAAATTCCTTGCCTTCAAGCCCTGATATTGTTTTATCCATTTGATCTAGTCTATTGGTATGCCTTTCAACTGAGTTTTCAGATACTAGGAAGAGGCTAAGAAAGAGCCTTCTCTAAAGCCTTCAGAGAGATCATGGCACGGCTCATACATTGACTTCAGACTTAGCTCCAGAACTGCAAGAGAATGAATTTCCATTATTTTAAATCACCAAGTTTGTAGGGATTTCTTGTAGCAGCCTTAGGAATGTGATACATACGGTATGTATGATTTCAGATTAGAATTCTCTTTTTTTATTTGTCTCTCTCACTAGAGTAACCTCTATGAGGGCAGAAACTGTATTTGGCTTATTCATCATTATTTACTAGCTCCCAGAGTACAGAATGTTCCATATTAGATATAAATATGCAGGATGTATAATTAAACAAAAAGATTGCTAACGTGAAGGAAATGATTCTTTACAAAATTTATTTATTTGGGTGAGAAAGGAAACAAAACACAAAAGGAAAGAACATTTTTGCAAAGATCAAAATATGGTTTGAAAGTTTCTACATAATTTTCTTTGACATAGTATATGACAGATGTTATATGACAATTTTTGGATATATTCTCTTTTTTATTTAAATTCAAGGAGATATCCTAGGAGGTGATCAGGATTTCAGACTTCATCAAGAACAAACAGATTGGATTGCAAAGAATTCTGCATAGCTCATTTCTAACTGAATTAGTACATTAACTTTGGAAAACCTTTTTAGATTCACAGTAATCAGTATCAACATTTAGGCAAAGCATTTCATTGTTACAAAAATATAGAATATTGATTTTGAATGTCCAGCCTTATTTAACCAAAACTCTTCTTTAATTCTTCAACAAATTTCTCATCTTCAAAGGGCTTCCTCTGGCTGCCAGGCTGCAGAAACTTCTTCACTGTGGGCAGGTTGCTGACTCTGGTTCTCAGGGCCTGCAATGTACAAATACACAATCTCAGAGTGGAGCCCAAACAAACACCCATTAACACAACCAGGAAGTCTGCACCCCTCCTTGATAAAGACCAACTGAATCCCCCCATCAGCACAGCATGCTGTCTGGGAAATAGACAACCAATGAGAAAAAAAGATAAGAGCTAGAAAATAAAGCTCCAATGACAATTCCCCGTTTCCCTTTAAAACTGTATATAGTTCCAGCTATCTTCTTTACTGCCTTACACTTTAATCCTATAAATTCATTCCTGTTGTATGATATAAGGAAAAACACTGTGCCTGCCACATGTAGATACAGAGAAGCACTCAAATGGGTGAGATGACAATATAGGAAAAATTAATTAGAAATGATGATAGAAATAGATCAGCAAGGTGGAAGCCACTACAAATTATCAAACTGAGAGATAAAGATGGGAGTTGTTGAGGTGAATAGGAGAGGTAGGTTTGCAGAGAGAAATATGACGTCTGAGGGTAAGTACTTGAACTGAGGGAAGAAAAGATGGAAGGAGACTTGCTTGAATAGACTCAGTGTGCAAAGACAAGGACATATGTGAGATAACAGGGATTCCAGAGAAATCATGATCAGAACCCATGTGGAATAGGGGGCTGTAAAGAGAAAGCTAGATCCTTGTTTTTTCTCATTATAGAAGGCAAAATTTAGCATCCACCTCACATTTCCTTGCTAACAAGATGCTTTCCATTATTCAGAACCAGGGCCTAAAAAATCTTTTTTAGGGGTCAGGTGAGAGAGAGAGAGAGAGAGAGAGAGAGAGAGAGAGAGAGAGAGAGAGAGAAAGAAGCCTGGGATGACTAAAAGTCAGAACACCATCAGCCCTGGTGTCCAAATGTTAGATTCATGATGGGAGGTGTGGGCCTCTGTGAGGACTTGAGAGAGAACACCTTCAGTAGAGGGAAGTTGGCCAGAATGCTGGAGTCCAGCTCTTCTGTGTGGTAGAGAAGTTCAGTGAGGAGAACGTCAGCCTTGCTCAGCCTGTTGCCAACCAGGTAGTCTTCTCCGTGGCTCTTTAACACCTGCAGAATGGGAGGAGTCAGGTCATGAACACACATAGCCAGACTGTGGCTCCAGCTTGCCCCTGAGCCTCTCAGTTCAACTTTCCCCATATGCTGCCTCCTGGGAAGGTGTGGAGCCGCCCAGAAGATCTTTCTCCAGGCCCTGACTCATGAGCGAGAGTGAAAAGTGGGGCTCTGCTCACTGCTCTGTTAAAGCCCAGGGGACTTTCATTCTCATCCCCACATCCCTGGATGGTTCATACCTCCCACCCTGACCTGCATCTTCCTCACACACCAAGGGCTGCACCATGTTTCTCTCTGTTCCACACCCTACCAGGGTGCAGCCCTGAAATTTGAGGATGTTCCTTTCCCCTTTGTTCTATATGTAATATTCCATGGTTAACTGTTCTATCTACATGACGACACCTTTCACGTATGAGCACATCATCTCAGGGTTTCCATTTCTCCTCTTGTCTACTTTCCTAATGTCCTGGTGATATCTCTGGAATCTAATTACATTTCAGTTTGTCATCTGTCTTCTGACATTGGATCTGACCCTTAACACTATGGCATAATCTGTATGTGGAATTACGTAAGGATGAACTGAACTGATGTCCAGAACTTGTTTTGAAATGCATGAAAAATGATGTTTTATTTGTGGAGAAAGAAATAGAGAAATGAATACATATGAAAAAGGCAACATCTAGAGTATAAATTTTGCTGTCTCTGTGGAGTTTAATGAATCTTTGTCTTCTTGAACTTTCTTTCAACGTTTCTGGATATCTAAAAGTTTCACAAAAATTTTCTGGGTAATATATGATATTTGTTAAAATATCCTAGTAATATTGAGATCATGATGAATTAAGAGAAGAGAAAATAACACATAGCACTACTAATGAAAGATAATGTTTTTGTCAAACATGCTATCAAATTATGTGTACATAAAGAAGTACAAATCATTGCTTGTTATAACAATAAAACAGTAGATCAAATTCATAACGTAATTTGCACAATTCATTTATGTTTCAAGGGAGTCTTAAGTTTCATGTATGGATGACTTAGCTATAATCACTGAAAAACTTGTCATCAGATGATGTGCCCTAAACTATCAGCTCTACAGGGCCAGGAGGGTGAATTTGAGGATTTAATTATACCTAAATTCTTACCTCCTTACCTGAGATTTACATGCAAGAATTGATTTAACATTTGCTGAATGAAGGAATGACAGAATGGTATAATACTCTGCAAGTGGGAATTAAGTAGTTAGTTTTTATTTATAAGTTTACTGTATCAGTTATGGTCAATTTTGTTTTATAATTTTTGTCACATGATTTCAAGTAATTTTTATCTTGAAATAGTATCCCTTTATGTTCAAAGAAAATTCTTAGTAATATAGGTATATAATGAGGGAACCCGATTTCCTACCTTTTGTGCAACTTTCCTCAAAAATCTGAATGCCATGTCCCTCAATTCTATAGAACATTTTCTCTTACATCTTCCCTTCATCTTCTCTTCATCTCCATCCCTCTGTCACCATCCCTATGTGGATACTCCTTATCCATCCCTGAAACACTACAGTCCCCTCCTGATGGGCAGCTGGTCTCATGTCTCCTACACACAGCAACAGAGATTTCCTGATGTGTTGCTTTTATTATGTTGCTCTTGAGTCAGAAGACTGTGCTGCTTTGCATGATCTAGTCCAACTCCCAATGTGCTCAGATCTTCCCATAGCCCAAGTGCTGATTATGACCATGAAATTCTGTCACATAAAAATTTCTAGATTGGATTACAGTAAAACAAAACTTTTTGAAAAATTTAACTTTCTTAAGACTAGTACAATGGCTGTTCAAAGTCTCTGTGTGCACAATGCCTTGAATGGAAGGGTACTAAATCAGCATGAAAGAAGTCCTTCTGGAAGTGAAGGCCAATGCCTAAGGAATCCCAGACTCTGTTTTTCTCCTGCATCTGTTATGGAATGAATATCGGTGGTCCCCCAAATTCATACGTTGTGATCTCAACTCAATATGATACTTTTAGCAGCTGGTGACTTTGGAATGTAATTAGATCCTATAGAAAGAGCTCTCAAGAATGGCGCTAGTATTTTTATAATGGGATCTTGAGAGCTCCCTTGACCCAGCTGCCATGTGAGGACACAGCCAGAAGTCAGCCATTCATGAACAAAGAAGCAGAGCTTGCTAGATACCAGTCCTTCAGGGCTTTGATCTGGTACTTCTCAGCCTCTAGAGCTATGAGAAATAAACATTTTTCTTTTTCCTTTTGGGGGGTTTTGTTGTTGTTTGTTTGTTTTGAGACAAGTTCTCATTATGTTGGTCAAACTGAACTCTAACTCAGGGTGCTCCAGCTTCAGCCTCCCAAGGAGATGGAACTACAGCCAGCCACGTACCTTCATGCCCAGGAAAGGTCTGTTGCATAAACCACTACTCACCATATATATGGTGCCGTTCACATAGCAGTTCTAAGTGCTAAGACACCTGTTAGGATTAAGACACCCTCTAAACTCTTAGTGGCCTCAGAGAGAAAACAGCTTCCACTTACCTTCTCAAAGCCAGGAAAATAACAATTTCTAGATTTCTCTTTGATCTGAGTAAGGCTTTCATCTTTGTCCCCAGGTGGAAGGAAGGGGTATTGAAGAATTATTTCATTCAAATCTGCCACACCTTCTGAATACATATCAATTCTGAAAACAAAACACAATAAAGCACTCTGTCAAATGCCTCTTGCCCCCATATTTTATACTTTAAAAGCCTTAGAGATTACAGCATCATGTGGTAGCAAAGGAATTCACCTCCAGTGGACACCTTCCATAAACCAGTTACTTATAGATTAATATTTGCTTCTTAGAGAACCTAAGGGCAGTTGTATTTCTAAAATATCTGTTATACACATGATCAAATAATCAAATAGCACCATTGAGTTCTCAGGGACAGTCTTGAGAGAACTTACTGTCTCTAACTACTGGTGGTACAAACAGGGATTCATCCTCTGTTGTGGTGTGTTCTGCAAAACTTAGTGTGATTCCAGTAGCTAAACCCCTGTCTCCTAGGTAGCTCAAGACAGTCCCCGACCCAGCCTTTCAGACAAGTCCCTCCCCTTCTCTCATCTTATACAGCCCGGGCTCATTTTCATGTGCCATGTCAGGAGTTCTTTCAATTATTTCCCGTAAATCACGTTCCCTAACTCTTTCCATGTACTGTTGCCCAATGCTAATCATGTTTGCATTTCTTGGGATCCCACCCAAGACATTCCCTGACTTGGTGCAATTCTTTATGTGGTTACAAAAAGTGCATAATAAAAGAGAGTTTTATTTCTTTTGTTTCAAATAGGCTTTCCAAAAATTCTTGTTTAAATAGCTGCTTTGTTAATAAATATTCATGTCATAATTGTCACCCAATTAAAGTCTACTATTCAGTGATTTTTTTTAGTACATTCACAGAATTCTGCAAATATCAACACTCTCCAGTTCCAGAACATTTTTACCATGTTGGATGGATTACAAAAAAAATGTATACCACCTCTTCCACCATCTCTAGAAACTACTAATCTACTTTCTGTCCCTGTGGATATGAGTGTTCTACACATTCATACTAAAGAAACCATATAATATGTGACCTCCTAGGTCTGATTTCTTTTATGTGACATAATGTTGTCAGTGTTCATCCATTTTGCCATATGCATCATACTTCGTCTCTTTGCACAGCAAATACTATTCCATGGTATAACTGAAGAATCTTCCTTCATCTATTATCTGTTGCACCTTTAGTTTATTTCCACTTTTTTGATATTTTGAACAATGTACCTATGAACATATGTATAGAAATACTACTCAGTATTTTTATCACTCTTGGGTATATCCCTAGTACTGGAATTGCTGGGATATCGGTAACTCTTACTTTTTGAGGAACTTTCCACAGATTTATACAAGATTTTATTTTCAGTAAAGCAGTTCCAGCCCAGGAGGGAGGAGACCTAAACCCCAGTGCTGAATCAGTGGGCTTCTTCAAATCTACATGAAAAGCTTTAGGTCACCCTCATGTCTTGACACCAGACTCCACCAACCCTCATCAAGCTGACCCATCTGTAGAAGAAGAGGGTAGCTTAGGTTCCTGCCTGTCAGTCTTGTACTTTCTGGAAATGGAAAATCAGGTGCTTCAGATCCTTCCTTCTCAGGCCTTCAAGTCTAGACACTCAAACTCTTCCCCTGTCCCAAGCTATTGCATAGTTTAACCTCTAAGCTAAGCAAATGGAATCAGGATTCCACCATCTTCCTGAATTCATAGTTCCTCAGGATTTGCAAGCTTCCATGAACCGCATCCTCTCTACATGACACTGCCCTGAATTCACTTCATGCTTACTCTTTCTGCGTCTCCACAGCACTCTCCCATACTGACCTCAGTGTTTATGCTCAGGGTCAGCCTGGTGCTCGTCAGGATCTCCCTGCCTTGGTTTTTCTCACTCAAGGAAGGACCTAAATGCTTCTTGTGTTATCTGAAAAAATAGAAAATATACCATACAGGGCTTTCTCCTTTATGTCCTTCCCATAGAGGTTGTATTTGGCAGCAATGTAGTTGAGAATGGCTCTGGTCTGCACCAGCTTCATCCCATCGATCTCCACCATGGGCACCTGCTGGAACATCAAACTCCCATCTTGTGGAAGGAGAAAACAAACAGAATGAGATGTCTATGGGTCAGACGTGTTCACAATGTATAACAGTTGTGAAAATGAAGATGCAAACGGGAAAAATTATTGCTTGGTAAATTTTGAAGTAAGATACTATTTTATTTTTAGCTTTTTTTTCTTTTTTATTCTTTTCCATCTTCTTACTTTTAGCCTATTATTCCATTGATGTTTTAATTTCCCATCCATCTAGACACATTTGAATATTTGTATGTTTAGCTCATCTTCATGGATATTTTAGGAAGAAAATGGGGAACCAGTGATAGGGCAGGAGTCATTTCCATTCAACACAGGAATTTTGCACAGTCTCATGGTGTTCATGACACTAAGGACAGTTCAGAGAGATTTCTATGTGGGCCTCTCTGTGTGCTTTTCCAAAGACAGCATTGGACAGTGTGTGCAGGCTGGACCTTGTGTTCCTCACCCCACAGCTGGCAGAAGGGAAGAGCTCTTTGCCTCCTCACTCCTTCACCTGGACTTCCATATTCAGCACAGTCACATTTTCAATTCTGCAGTGCACTTGGGTAGTCACCTTGTCAAACCCCTTAAAGAAAAGATATGAAGTTGATTGCTGGAGCCATTTCTGCTCCTGTCATCTAATGAATGCCCCTGTGCATGCTTGGATGGGAAGGGAGGTGTGGGATCCTGAGCTGCTTAAAGCTCAGTCATAGAGCAGAAAGCATAAAAAAGAAAGGAGAGGGATTTACAGGACCTTGGAATGGTTCCTTAGCAAGTATTCACATAATGGGTCTCACACTTTTTAACACTGAGATTTGCCAGATCTTATATTTTTACCACTCTCTGCCTCTCCACTACCAACACTACCGTCCTTAGAAACACATAGTGATTGCATAGTGTTTAAATCTTCTATTAGGAACCCTCTTAAGAGGCATTTAGATATTTGTTCTTACTTTTTATTAACTTTTTCATGTCTTCTCGAGTTTTCACCAAGTTCTCTTCAAACTGGAAAGCAAAACCAGTAAATGAATCTTTATTAGTGCATTCCATAGCAACGGATGCTTTTCAACTTGGATGGCTTCTTTCTAATATGAAGGGGGAAAGATTTTTTAGCTTGGTAGCTGATGAAGACATTTGTAATTTGTATTAGATCCATCAAAAATGCACAGAAAAGAAAAAGAGAAATGGAATCAGTCACAAAAATAGTTGTTCTTGTAGCTCACTTCGCCTCCATTCTACGTCCATGCATAGGTCATGATTTGGGAGGAATCTCATTGGAAGGAGGACAACTGAGAATCTTTTCTTGTTGTGGAGTTGCAATATCTCAGGAAACCTGTCTCTAAGATCAGAACGGGGTTGGGTGCATCTGTAGCATGAGATATGCCATAGACCCACAACCATTTAACATTCTGCCACAATCAAGTCTCCACTGTAATTAATATCACCACAGTCCCAGGATTCCTGCCATTGGTAAAACGAGTTCTAGTTTTTATTTATTTATTTATGATGATGGGGATTGAACCTAGGACCTTGTACATATGAGGCAAGCACACTACCAACTAAGCTATATCCCTAGCCCCATGGGTTCTATTTTATATACAACTTTTACTCTTAAAGCTAGAATTGCCTCTTCTGGAAAATGTGGGGCATGTTAGAGTTCCCAATTTTAGGAAACAATTGGAGTCCCCAAACTCATATTTTTTTCTCTAAAAATTTTAGTTTTTGATATGATTGTGTGGGTTGAGTGTCACTTCTTTACTGTCCTCGCATCTTGACCTTGGACAATTTACTGAATTTCCTTATGCTTCAGTACTCTAATCCGTAAAATGGTTTTATTTATTTATTTTCAATAAACTGGGTTTATTTATGATGCCTATGTTTTGGTTGATTTATGGAGTAAATCACTAAGGCCTGCAAATGACTAAAAAATGTACCCGGTGTCTATTAAGTTCGTAATAAATATAAGTTATCATTTGCATTTTGAAAGACAGCTGGCTATTTCACCATATCCTCCTTTAAAAAAACTTTTAGTTATACTAATACAGATGACCATGTACTTATGTTAAGTCATGACATTTTGCCTTATGTTAAGTCACTCAGATTGGATTGGCAGCCAGTAAGAAGGGATGTTTCTAGTTGATTGGAAGCTCCAAGTGGTGGCCTGTGTGTAATACAAATATGACAATCAGTTTTTTAAATACAGTGAAATTAGCTTACTAGGCAGAATCTTTCAACCTAAAGTCCATGGAAGACTGGATTTTGATGTTAACATGACTACTTAGTTTCAGCTGTGGCTCTGTCTCATATTAGCTGTGTGACCTAGGGATAATCGCTTCACATTTCTAAGTCTCATGTGGCTCATCTGTAAAATTATGTTGGAGTATTGTCTTAAATAGAATATTTCAGTGTTTTCAAAACACATGATACAAGTCTGATCCACATAAACCAAATAATAAAGAGCACTGGTGTTTGCAGTGGCTAATGTACTTTAGTGGAATTCTTGATAGTGAAAAGTCCAAATATCGGGGTTTTCTAGAATGCTTTTTGGAATAGTTTCTTGTGGATCTATACGATCATATAGGATCATATCACAGAGACAATGAGGAGGTGTGGGATAGCAGTTTACCAAGCATCCAGTTCATAGAAAACATAGAGGTGATGGGTAGCCATGGCAGGTGGCCAAGGTGAGTGGGGTGGCAAGTGGGATGTCGACTGTGAGACTGACGAGATGGATGGGGCTGTAACAATCAACTTCTGGGCACAGACAGCCCAAGAGTCCTGAGTAAGGGTCTCCAGCCAGCCCTTGCCCACCACTACCCTCTTTAGTCAGCTGGTATAGAGAAGAGGAAGCTGTTGGCATCACCCCCTTTCTCCTCTCCTATCTTGAACTCCTCCTCCCCAGAGGATTGGAATGCATCTCTGAGACTAAAAGGTAGCACCTGGAAGATGGTGAAACCAGAGGGCTCCTTTAACTAGGATGATCAGCAGTTTTTATTTCTTGTGTGCTGGGAGCCATTAGCCAAGTAGGTATGACAATTTCCTTGCCAGCGTACCCCATGTTGCTGACATGTTGCAGTGACATTGAATGTAGGTGACCTTGCTCAAGGACCAAGGCAGATTAGGGTGTTCCCGGTTTTAAGATAATCGTGTTTAGGGCGTTCCCAGTTTAGGTTCCAGGTTTAAGGTTTAAGATTATTCCTGCTGGGAATAGGGCGTATCCTGCTGCCTGAGTTCCCCTTGAGTTCTCACGGGATTCAGACAGTATATATTTTGGAGATAGAAGCCCAGTGGAGGGGGATTTGGGCAGAGAACGTGAATTTGGGCAGAGAACGTGAATTTGGGCAGAGAACGTGGATTTCCCAGAACGTGATTGTAGACGGCTGGTGTGAGTTCGGGAATAAAGAGTTGCTGTTTGAATCTACAAGCTGTGTGGTGGCTCGTGATTTTGTGCCCAGCCAGACTGCGGCACTTGTGTCCTTGTTTCTCCAAGAAATTGAGAAAGGATAAGGTTAAAGTCCATGTGTTCTTAGAAGAATGGAGAAAATGTCATTTCAAGACTTTGGTAAACACATTGCTATGAAGTTGAAGTTCCTCTAAAGGGACATGACTGCACTCTGAAACCCTTGTTTTCTGCTGCCACCTGAATACAAGATTTCCTGAGTTTGTCCAGGACTTCCTCACCAGGAAAACCCTTGTTTGTTACCTGTACCTCTACTCCGGACTAAATACCATCTTTTCAGTATTGCCTCTAGAGGACAGCACTTAGCTGAGTCACAGAGAAACCTATTGGATCCTGCTTAAATACTAGCAAAAATGGTCTTTTAATCCTGCAAGATGCTTGATCTTGTCCCTTGTAGATACATAGGTTGCCCAAGGGCAGGGCCTTGTCTGTTGCATTCATTGTATATTCCCAGGACCTCACACAGGACCTGGTTCTTTAAGTGCTCCACAAAATTATTGCTGAATGAATGTGTCCTATGGTTAACTGGCAGTTTGTTACTGTCTCCTGCCCCATCCGTCATGTGTGGTATGTATTTTCACTTTAAATGCATTCCTTTTTCTGATATTGTACATTTAAATTCTATTATTATGAAAATTTTTGATATGTACAAAATAAAAAGAATGTAACGTTGTTCCTTATATACTTCAACAATGATCAATTCAAGCAAACAGCTTTTCATCTATTCACCCACTTGCTCTCCTTCTATTAAATAATTTGAAAAAAATCCAAACTATCATGTACAGTCAAGTACCACATAACAATGTTTTGTTCAAACATGGACTGCTTATACAAACGTAGTGCAATACAATGATAACTGAAAATTTTCTGTCACTTAGTGAATGTACAGCTGAAGAAGGGCAAGATAATAGAAAACTATGGAAGAAAACAAATTCACAGGGAAGGTTTGAGGCCTCAACAAACTCCTTTAAAATTTGAAAAGAACTCCCAACATGGGAAAGTTTTCATTGATAGAGAATAATTTTCATGGTGTACTATCTGTTTCAAATAAATCTATATGATGGAAAAAAGAAGTCAGCCATTCAAATCATCATGGATATATTTCTACACGGTGATACCTCCTCAGGATGAGCATCAAACAGGCCCTTAGTGGCTAGTCACTTTGATCTTAGGAGGTGACAGAGCCATGCATGTTACTGTCCTGAAACCTTCAGTGGGACCAGATATGGAGGTAGAAGACCATGATATTGATGATCCTGAACCTTTATAATGTGTGTATATGTCTTAGTTTTTAACACACAAAAATTTAAGTTAACATAAAAATATTAAAAGCAAAAAATATTATAAAGACACAAAAAATATTTATAGCTGTACAATATGTTTGTGTTTTCAAGAATCAATAAATGGGATGGAATCAAACTAAAAAATTTCTTCTCAGAAAAGAAATAATCTGTGAGGTGAACAGAGAGCCTACACCCTGGGAGCAAATTTTTACCCCTCACACATCAGATAGAACACTAATTTCTAGGGTTTATAAAGAACTCAAAAAACTAAACACCAAAAAAATACACAAATAACCCAATCAATAAATGGGCCAGGAACTGAACGAACACTTCTCAGAAGATGATATACAATCAATCAATACATATATGAAAAAATGTTCATCATTGCTAGCAAGTAAGAAATGCAAATCAAAACTACTCTAAGATTTCATCTCACTCCAGGTGGAATGGCAGTTATTATGAATACAAACAACAATAAGTGTTAGTGAGGATGTGGGGAAATAGGCACACTCATACACTGCTGGTGGGACTGCAAATTGATTCAGCCAATATGGAAAGCAGTATGGAGATTCCTTGGAAAATTGGGAATGAAACCATCACTTGACCCAGCTATCCCACTCCTTGGTCTATACCCAAAGGACTTAAAAACAGCATACTACAGGGACACAGCCACATCAATGTTTATAGCAGCACAGTTCACAATAGCTAAATTGTGGAATCAATCTAGCTGCCATTCAACAGATGAATGGATAAAAAAAATGTGGTATATATACATAATGGAATATTACTCAGCAATAAAAGAGAATAAAATCATGGTATTTGCAGGTAAATGGATGGAATTGGAGAAGATAATGCTAAGTGAAGTTTGCCAATCCCCAAAAAACAAATGCCAAATGTTTTCTCTGATATAAGGAGGCTGATTCATAGTGGGGTAGGGAGGGAGAGCATGGGAGGAATAGACAAACTCTAGATAGGGCAGAGGGGTGGGAGGGGAAGGGAGAGGGCATGGGGTTAGAAATGATGGTGGAATGTTATGGTCATCATTATCCAAAGTACATGTATGAAGACAAGAATTGGTATAAATATGCTTTGTATACAACCAGAGACATGAAATATTGTGCTCTATATGTGTAATAAGAATTGTAATACATTCCACTGTCATATATACAATTTTTAAAAATTAATAATAAATAACAATTTAGCATCATCAAATAATGAATATTTATGGTTCTAGTTTTGAATAAATTCCATAAATTGTGTTTTACAATAAAAAAAAAATCAGAAAGTTCCACAAATTGTGATATGTTTATTAAATTATTTTTAATGTTTATGCTCTTTGATGAGAAGATATATTAACTATTTATTAGATCAAGCCTGCGAATATCTTAATAATTGGCAATTCTTATTTAAGGCACTATTCTTGATAGTTCACTCAGTAAGAAACATACGTATCTTAGGCGAGACAATCATCTGATAAAAAAAATTTAGGTACAAATTAATATGGTCTAATTCAGAACCTACCTTTACTCCAGCTGCAGCCAAGAGCCACCGGATGGACTCCATCCTGCCCCGTGAATTGAAGTAGTAAAGCACAGGCTTGGCCATCACAATTGTGTGTCTTGTTTTCTCTAAACACGAATGAATGAAATCATGATATCAGAACTGTACTTTAATATACTTTCAGAATAGCAGAACAGCACCAGCTATACTGAAGAAGGACCTGCCTTCTTTGTGGCAGGGTTGGAGAAGTTCTTGGAATGTATTACCAGGTCCAATGGGTTACTGGTCCAGCTGCCAACCTCAGATGGCACCAAACCAGTCTCATTTCCCCATTGGTTAAAATGTGACTGTTCTTGACAGCCTCAAAGATCACAGTGGATAGCAATAATGCCTGAATGTAAGTTAGTGGGCGGAGGAAGAACTGGAGAACTAAGACTGAATGAAAAATGAAATCTATCAAATTATGCTATATCTAGGTATGAATATACCATAATGAATTTCATATATAAATAAATACCCAGTTATAATATACAAATTAAAATAACAATAACAATAATGAAAGAGCAGAGTAGAGCAGGTCAGGAGTAGCAGAGGGAAAAGGAAGGTACTGGGGAATGAGATTGATCAAATTAGTTAATGTGCATGTACAATTATGGCACAATTAATCCCACTGTTATATATAACTATGATGTACCAATAAAATTATTGAAAACCTCCTAATTATATCAGCCCAATACTAATCTCTTTGGATATTGTATTATTAATATTCACAATAGCTTCAGGCATCAGTCTGTATTAGCTTCACTTTTCAGTTAATGAAACTGAACATCATGAAAGTGAAATGCAATGTCCAGTCACACCAAAGTCACCAAGGGACATGATAAATCACAACATGAAACAAGAACAAGGAGGGTCTAGAACCACAAGGGGTGAAGGCCTTGAGAACTTTCGAAGGCTCTGAATCAGAGGACAGCAAGGACCAAGAGGAGCAAAGTCACTGTTCAGTCCTTTGGCTGTTAGGCTGCATTGCATCAAAAGTAGAAATTAGGCTTCAAGATTTATTCACTCGTAGCTCCCAGTTCCTTCCACAGGCAGAGGTTGCTGATTCCTTGCTTTTTTGAAACTCCGTGCTCTACTCTATGGCTTATATTTTGTCGTGTGATCTAGCAAAAGGGATATGCTGCATTCACTTGACTGTAAATGGAGTGGAGTTAACATCCTTTTAGTGCCAGCCATACATTAGGATTCCATGAATTTATCTACAGTTTAACCTAAAAGGAGTAAATCCTCAGGGGACTTCATGGAATATGATCATTTTACAGTTGGGGATAGTGTGGTTTCTAGAGGAATTTGTCCAAATGAAGTGATGGACCAGGAGTTCAAACTCACCTCTGTTCAAAACCAAAGTCTAGGCTTGATTTTCTGTTACTGAGTTTCAAAATATGCACTGTAATCCTTCTGTGCATCATGAAATTCATTAATTTTGCAAATTAAATTGAAAGGAACAGCAAATATCAGGGTGCGGAAAGGGTAACTAATGTTTGGAGAGTGTTTCACTTCCGTTATGTATGCAGTGTGCATAGGAGTAAGCGCATGTGTGTGCTCAGATGGCCATTGTAAGTGGTACTAGACACACTGATGGCATTATTGAAGGATCTTCGATGGCCCTCGATATGTCTCAGGCTACACAGAACATGGGGCACTGCGTAGAATCAGAGAATGAAAATCAGTGGTTCTAGGAACTGAGGTGACTTTACTATCATGAGTGTGAATACAATCACACAATACTCACTGAAAACAGGAGTCCCAGTGAGAAGAGTTCAAGGAGTTCAAGGAAAAAATTCTGTCTTCTTGCAAAGTTTTGTCATTGAATTTAATGCAAAAATATACTTGTCTTTACCATTAGATGTACTTCTGAATTATGTGTGATTAAATTTTAGGCATCAAAATGTTTTAAATTCCACATTTTAAAATGTGGCACACAGACAAAAAACTAACCTTTATGAAGTATAAAATCATTTAGAAGCACCTATTTAACTCTCAGTCTGTTAGGAAGTCCATTGTATGTATGAGGAAAGTGGAGGAGGCGTGTTCAGCACAAGGAAAGGGAGAGTGAATTTCAAATTATGGAATATGCATGTACAATTATGCGTGTTGAGCTGCTCAGGAGCTGAGTTCACAGGACCACATGATCCTCATCCTCATACTGTGCTCCCTCAGCTGTTGTCTGGATCCTGTTACACAGGGTGATAAGTTTTATCTTACATAAGGCTCTATCATGATGCTCTTTCTTCTAAGTGACTTTCTCTAGCTTCTGAATGTGAGGCTTCCAAAAGCCAGGCCAAGACTGGGACAGAGGTCCCCATGGAGCTTTGCTAGGTGGACAGAAAATGGAACCACTGGATGCTTTGCTGGGGTCCCACCCAAGTTTCTCACTCATAGTCAATATCTAGTTGTGACTGTCCCCTCCATGACTGTTAGGCAAGAGATAGGCATGAACAGTGGGTCAGGACTTTAGGAAAATACCCAATACAGAGCAAAATGGTTCATCACAGCTCTGACTTGGTGGAGCTCCAAGGACTGACAAGACAGCTATTTTAGGACTCTTGCCTGGTCTCAGCTCTATAAACTATTCATCCTACAAATGGAGGAAGATAGATGAATTCAAGGGCCAAAAAACAAAGGGCAAGGATATGTTTGCTCAGAAGGGCTTAACTGCTAAGATGTTTTCAACAAGACCCTACACAAACAACATACAGCAGAGATTTCCAGGCTGAGGAAAGCAGGATGATTAAGACTGGAGCCCCCTGATCTTAAATCTTGTAAAACTAGACCTAATTAAGACCTGTTAGTCAGGCCAAGATAACCAAGAGTTGCCCTTAGGTTTTTTATTTTTTTTTATTGTTGGCTGTTCAAAACATTACATAGTTCTTGATATATCATCTTTCACACTTTGCTTCAAGTGGGTTATGAACTCCCATTTTTAGCCCATATACAGATTGCAGAATCACATCAATTACACATCCATTGATTTACATATTGCCATACTAGTGACTGTCGTGTTCTGCTACCTTTCCTATCCTCTACTATCCCCCCTCCCCTCCCCTCCCCACCCCTCTTCTCTTTCTACCCCCTCTACTGACCTTCATTTCTCCCCCTTGTATTATTTTCCCCTTTCCCCTCATTTCCTCTTGTATGTTCTTTTGTATAACCCTGAGGGTATAGCCCTTAGGTTGTTAGCTAATGTAGTCTGTCAATCCAGAGGACAGAGACAATACCTGGGTGGGGCCTTTTAACAATCTCCCTCCCACCCCGATAAAAGCTGAGACACAAAGAAGGATGTTGTTACTTTCCCCTCTCTCTCCCTTAAGGCTGCTTCTCCCCTTTTCTTTCTCTTTGAATAAACTTAGCTATACTTTCACTAAGTCTTGGGTCTTGCTTGAAACCCTCTGATGTGAAAACACAGAGTTGTGAACACAGTATATTCTCTCTGATAGGATCTTATCTCAGGCCTCTTTTATCCTCTGTTACCACAACCACCTGGGAATAATTCCTGGATTCCTAACGCAGAGGAGCATATTGAAGGTAAAGAGGGATGGCTACTCTCCTGCTCACACACTTGAGTGATGGGTTGTTTGAACTCTTCTGGTTCCACCAGGGCTTCTCCACTCCAGCTTGGAACTCTCCCCTTCCTTTATGCTTATCTCTCAGGACTTTTACATATATTCCCAGCCAGAGTCCTGTAGCCACCTGAAGACAGGAAGCAGAGGGAGCAAGGAGACATAGAATTCATGAGCAGCTTTTCAGGGGCTTCATGGGAAGAAAAAAAAAATGGTAAAATGTGCCAGGCGCAATAGTTCATGCCAGTAATCCCAGCAGCTTGGGAGGCTGAGGCAGTTCAAAGCCAGCCTCAGCAACAGTGAGGCGCTAAGCAACTCAGAGAGACCCTGTCTCTAAATAAAATACAAAATAGGGCTGAGGATGAGGCTCAGTGGTTGAGTGCTTCTGAGTTAAATCCATGGAAACCCCCACCTACAATGGTAAAATAGTTTCTTGCTTTCCCTTGACAACCGTAAAAATGAGTAAATTAAAGACCAGAATAAGGATATTTGCCTCATTAAGACAAATGGTCTTGTTTTGAAAGAAATGTAATCTATGACAATTCTAGTAGTAGGTTAAAAAGTTATGTCTCTGAGATGGTGTCCATCTCCTAAAATATAGAAGGGTGGTTTACAGAGAAATCTCTACTTCCCTCTTAGCATAGGTAACTTAGAGTAGATTGTTTAATTTCTAACTGTCCATTTTCTTTTCTGAAAATACATAGAGTTACAACTAACTTTGAGGATTTTTCAGAAATTGCATTGAAATAATGTGCATACACTTGTAATAGGCACTCAGTAAATGGATGCTTGCTGTTTCTCTAGTTTCTGGGCACTCATCTGTGTGCACCTGAACACATTGGGTAGCCCATGAATCCTTTCTCTTTCCATCCATCCTTCTTACCAACTGACCATCCACCCATCATGTACTATCCATCTATCTCTATCTCTGTTTTGTCCAGAGAATTCTGGAGCAGTTTCCGTGTACCAAGCAAGGATGATGGCTACAGGGAGCAAGGTCTGACTTGGTCTCTGTCAGGAAAGGGTTTAAATCTAGTCAGGGACACAGCATTATAGACACCTGACAGGTCAGAATGACTCTGGAAGTGACTTCACTTTATGGGTCTCTGGAAACTCCAAACCAGGATCTGAGACCAGGGCAAAGGCCAGATAGCCAGATTGTCAAAGAAAAGGAAATGGGTAGAGAGCACTTCCCCATCAAGCAGTTGCTAACATCTCCAGGGGAGGGGAAGAATCACACTCTCCAACACAAGGAATGCACCCCTGGGCAGCTTTGTTCCTGCCTTTTGGTCATGTAGGCATGTTAGGAAGAGGAGAATGAGGAAAGGATTAAAAAAAAAAACCAGACATTTATAAAAATACAAGACATTCCATTCCCAGGGAACCAGCTTTGGGTTCCCAGTTTCTCTCTGGAGGGAATCTCTCTCCCCTTGCTTCCCTTCTCTCTTCTGTGTCTTAAACAAAAATTACATTCTACTCTTGCCTTAGCATTTCTAGGGTGTTTAATC